CTTCTGTGGAAACTTAGTTCAGCCCATAAAAGCACCACCTAATTGTTCATGATGGTTACTTACTTCTGAATGATAATATATTTTGCTACAACTTGGCATTATACAGAAAGCACATTGTACTGAAAATGGTGCTCATGCAATAAAGAAATGGTGCTCTCCATTTCACTATGGGAATTTCACTCACTTGGGGGAGGGGAGAGAAATTAATGGCAAATCTTCCCAGAAACATGAAGAAATAAACATGAACTATTCAGAGGACATTTTAACCATCACATTTAAATATTACTTATGATGGTTCCCACCCCTCAACCTCCATAATTCTCATCTTTTATCATCTGGGCTGTGTACATATTACTGTCTTAAAATGTAGTTATGTTGAGTCTTGTTCTCAGTTCTGATCAAAGCTGATTTGGAGCAGAGTGTATCAAACTCAGTATTTCATAAGAAACAACAGGATAGATTTAGGATATATATGGACTTTGGCTATCATGTGTACAATGCTTCCCAGAGTACTATTGGGAGTATGGAGAATGCAGAACTAATGGGAGTATGTATACAGCCCTACTTTCTTCCAGGGCTGTCTCTGTCTTACACATTTTAGATCAAATGCTTGTGTAATCCAGTTCTACTGAATTGGATGGAGTTATTTTAGACCACCAGTTTCATACCAGAAGCAGAGATATGGTCCTCACATTCTCTGTCATTCTGTTTCCATTCAGACAAAAAGTTAAGGACAAGAGTTGTCACTTCTTCTTCAAACCATTGTCTTAAATATATTTTGAAGGAAACAATTTACAAAATGCAGTTACTAGACTTGATCCACAGATAGTCTCATCAGCTGCTTGTCTGCTACCCTTCCCTGCTGCCAGTCAAAACAGCACAGTACAACCATGGTAGTGTGATTATCTGGTTGGAAGGGATGAAGGAACAGAGTTTGTGAATTCAGTCCCCCCTTCCACTTTGCATTCCAAACTGGTGAATAGTTTACTGTCACAACTCCCCAGTCCCCTTAAAACATGCATTTTCCTCCCACATCTGCTGTTTTTCTAACAAAGGTGCAGATCTAAGAAAGTGATCTGAGTATGGAAATAAGCAGGGCTTAGTCATATGTGTACAGGACAGAACTAGTTGGTTCTACTGTACTTCTGCATTCTCTTCCTGCATCAGCCCCTGGTTGCAGGCTGTATCCTGATTTTTCTACACAGTCCTGTTATTTTTCACATGCCGAAAGAAACTGTAGTTGTTACACACATTGGAGGCTCACTGCACCATCCCAAGGGGTTTTCTGGTCTGCCGCCACTCTCTACTAGTTGCTATTTTGCCATTCTTTCTCTAAATGTGCACGTACAACAGTAGTACCTTCCCCCACATGCAGTTTGTTCATATAAATGGATGTTGGGCTATCCTTCAAAGAAAGGCTTTGGTTTCCTGAACGTGTGCCAGACATGTTTGGCAATATGCTTGAGTGTTGCCAGATGCTGCTCTAAAAAAATTCTCATTGGTAACAAACATCACTTTATCCACATTACAATGGCATTTTAAAATATAAATATCATAAATTAATGTCCCATCTATTACCCTAGGCAGCCTAATTTTGATGGGGCTGAAATTATTATTTAAAAAATGTTTCTTTATTATAAATCCATGTGCTCCTCATCCTTTTCCTATTGTGTTCTTTTTACTTTATTTTCATTTCTATTCTTTTCTAATCACACGCACAAACACCTATATAAATATTACAGTGAAAATATTTTCTATCCCTGATGCCCATGCATTGGTTTGGATCCAGAACTGCCCTTCATTCATGGTAGGATCAGATCCTTCTGCTAGTGAAGGCTGGAGATGACAGAAATGATGCTCTCCATTTTCCCCTGTGCCACCTTCCAAATTGTTCCAGAAGCTCCCCATATGAACTATACAAGGAGCTTCAAGAGATATGGGGAATAAAAGAATGCTATGTATCCCTTTCCTCAGCAGGAGTGTTTTATGTGAGTGGAACCTTGCTAATGGGCCTTATGGAACCTATGAATAAAAGCATAGCTGCTTGTTCAGTGTGGAGTAGAACTCCAAGTTGTACTACTACAGCTTTGAGCAATTTACGGTTCTACAACATTTACTCGATTCCCATTATGTTCCAGACAACAGTGCCTGGCAGAAGAAATAATGTATTGCTACAGCCTTTGCAGTCAGATACACCCTACAAAATTACCGTTGTGGCAGTTTATGAAGATGGAGATGGTGGACAGTTGACAGGAAATGGAAAAACAGGTACATCTGATGTGCTGTTAAATAATATGCAAACAACTGAGGTGCAAATGGTCCTTAACTATCCCCCCCCCACTCAGAAGTTGTGGTAGAGGAGTTGTTGCCATGGTTGATATTTGCCAAATGGACCTTCATTTGAGATCCCATCTCAGCATTCCTCAAATATTTGCACATGCAACATGAAATGCTGTGTGTCTGCATAGGGAAAGATTGAATGTCCCAACACAGAGACATGGCAGAATTACAGCCATAACCTGGATCTTTGTGAACACTTTGGGTTATCTAATCACTATCACTGTCCAATCCATTCATCTGCCAGGAACCCAGTCTGCTAGATGTCATATAGGCATAGAAATAACATTTTATGCTACCATTCTAACTTTATACTCAATTTTTGTCTTCTTCAGTTGGCTTGCTTTCACCTCAGAACATACGCATTTCAGATGAATGGTACACACGGTTCAGAGTTGCCTGGGATCCTTCACCATCTCCTGTTCTTGGGTACAAAATTGTCTACAAACCTGTTGGTAAGGCTGAGCTTAAGATATTCAAGTACACTTGACATTATTTAATATTTGTTCATTTCAAGACTTAAACACTATGAGAATGTGACTGATATAAATGTGAAAATGAGTCTTCTCTCAGAGCTCTTGGAGATCTGCTCTCATTAAGGCAAATGAAAATTCATTTTTTCCTTTAAGGTACCAATGAGCCCATGGAGGTGTTTGTTGGAGATGTGACTTCATATACATTGCACAACCTGTCTCCTAGTACTTCCTATGATGTAAATGTTTATGCTCAGTATGATTCTGGACTCAGTGCACCTCTGGTCGATCAAGGCACTACATGTAAGACTACTTTTCATGCTTTTGGTTTCACTTTATATTAACACAGAAGAGCCTTTTCTGGGCTAGTAGATGTGAGAAAAATAACCTCAAATGGGAGGTTCCATCAGTTAGAGCATGCCTACCCCATGGGACAGGTAGTGTTGGAGGATTATGCTGGGCTTTCAGAGAAACATGGCATTGTTCAGGAAATGTGCAGTTCTCGGTTACTGTGTGGGAACCTAACACCATTCTGCTATCTTGTGCTTTATGTTAGGGATGCACATACATTTCTCATTATCATAAAATCACATACCCCAATTACTAAAACTGCAACTTGCTGTTGCTGAGAAAATGTGATTCTTGCCTCCCCTCAGTACACATACAGTACCTATTAGTTGCAGTGTGAGTTCAATAGCCTATTACTTGTGGTAGAATAAGTGATATTTTAAGAATAAAGACATTCGTCATAGTTTCATAATTTGCTTTTAGCTTTCATCTTGTAGTTCATGGAAATTTTTCTTTCATGCTTTGCAGTGTATTTAAATGTCACTGACCTAACAAGTTATAATGTGGGATGGGACACTTTCTGCATCAAATGGACAGCTCATCGGGCAGCTACTTCTTACAGACTGAAGCTAAATCCAGCTGATGGTAAATATATATATATTGGGTTGTGCATGCAACTACTGTGAAGACTGTAACACATTTCCACCTAAACCTTGAAGAGCAAGGAATCTCCTGTCAGTGTGCCTCTCACAGACCCCTACTGTCATTTCTTGCATCCCTAGGTTCCTCTGAAGATGGATAACTTTAACAAATGGGTTGTGTTCCCAACCAGGGATATGGCAGATGATCTCATTAGAGATCTTGATCATTGAAAGGCTGGAGGCAGCAGGAACACTTGGGGCAAATACCTGTAGCTCTCCATAAAACAGTACCAGTGTTTGATTGCTTATAGGAAGTGTTATGCTCCTCTTGTTCCCCTCCTTAGGCTATTCCATAGTTGTCCTTCATTTAAATAATTTTTGCTCCTCGAGAGTTTAGTAGCTGAGTAGTATGGATAATATCTCTTTCCCATTATAACATATGCCCCTCCTGTTTGTTGCAGGATATGAATATATATTTTTATACCATAGCTACTCCCACAGTATCTCTACTACAAAACAAGAAAAGTTTGTTGTTTTTTAATCCCCATTCCTTTTATTTTTCACAAATGTGGTACATGTGGACATTAAGAAACACTAGGGCAGATCAAAGGAAGGACTGAACTTAAATCTTGAAGCATGTTGCCTGCTAAGCATCCTTCTCCTCTGTTGTTATGGAGATCAGTTGTTCCACACCTTTCCCTTTTCATATCCTGGCACTGTTCTGTACCTGCCTGCAATCCAGATGCTCCAAACTTTCTTCCAAAAGTTCTGGAAGCTAAGCAGAACACTCCATTGACGCAACCATTCCCTTCTTTGCTATATGTACTTTAGTTTTTCACTTTCAGCCATTCAGCAAGCATTCATAAGCTTCTACGTTCTAAGCATTTTAAAGTCATTATTTTACCTATTTGCAGGATCCAGAGGACAAGAAATTACAGTGCGTGGAACAGAAACCAGTCACTGTTTCACTGGCCTTTCACCAGACACAGAGTATGATGCCACTGTGTTTGTTCAGACTCCAAACCTTGAGGGGCCTCCGGTGTCTACAAGAGAACGAACATGTAAGTGGCAGATAACAATAAGAGTAGTAGTGGTGGTAATGTCGATTTAAAGTACATTGAATGAATGTGGTCAAAGTAATTGTGCTTGGAGATATTATCATTTTTGAGCTTGTAAAAACACTGTAGTATTTTTAAGGAATCCTAGAATTGTAGAGTTGGGAGGGACTCCGAGGGTCATCTAATCCCCCTATAGAAATCTTTTGCCCAACTTGGGGCTTGAACCCAAGACCCTGAAATTAAGAGTCTCATGTTCTATTGACGGAGCTATCAGGCAGCATCTAGTTTTCCTTTGTTTCCTATTTGTGAGATTTCATGCATGAATTGGGCAACAGATATATTTTCCATGGGGGTGGGATCCTAAAACTTTTGGATTCTAACCTTCTCTTGTCTCAAAATCTTTCACCAATCATGTATTGTTGCCAGCCAGGTTCTTGGCACTTCTTGACCTCCTGCCAGGATTTTGCAGTCCCAGGTGGGATGATTAGAGTTCTTTGAGTACAAAAGGTGAATTACAAATGATTTTAAAACACCGCCTCTCTTATCTCTCTGTGTGCATACGAAGAACAATAGAAGTTTATTTTCTTAAAGATGGACATGTCAGATAAGTTGCAACCAAATGAACGTCTATCAATTGTATTTCTCTGCAGTGGATATTACTAATTGCAACTCACAAAGTTAAGAATACTGAATATGTAAAATATTTTAATTCAGTATTTTTGTTTCAGTGATCAAGCCAACAGAACCACCAACTCAGCCACCAACTCCCCCTCCTCCTCCAACAATCCCACCAGCTCGAGATGGTAGGTGCTTACGAAAGCATTTATCTTATTTCTGCCATGTCTATGAAAGCAGGGCTTTGAGAGTACTGTTGAATAAAGGCTCTGATGTTACTATAATTTAGGGTGCTCATGATAGCTCGTGAACAGAGAAATAAGTTCTGTTTAAAACTGTGTTTGACTCTTCCCATATATTCCCTTGTCTTTTACGTTTCCAGAGCGTTCATGTTTGTGTTCTTAGTCTGAGTTCTATAAACATGTTTGGTGCATTTGAGCCTTTGAATGTATTTTTCATAAATTCCAATGGGGGAAATGGTTTTTTAGATGTATTCTATATGTTACATTGAAAAGCTTCACACATGCTGTTCTTCAAATTATCATCTCAGTTTCCTTAATTATTCTGTACGTGTCAAATGACTTAACTGAATCCAATGAACTTTTCAGTATGCAAGGGTGCCAAAGCAGATATAGTCTTCTTGACTGATGCTTCCTGGAGTATTGGAGATGACAATTTCCACAAAGTGCTGAAATTCGTTTTTAATACAGTTGGAGCCTTTGACCTAATCAACCCTGCTGGAATTCAGGTTTGTCTATTTTTCCTGTCTAGTAATAAACAAGAGAAACCAAGACTCTAAAGATTCTTAAAAGAAGCTGCTAGATTTCAATTTCAGCCAAAGCTAGAAAAGTGATTCAGTCTATAGCCCATGCTTCCAGATTCTGTCTTCATGCTTGCACTATGGATTGCATCATCCCCTTTTCATGACCATGAAAGAGTGGATCATAGATGTTCTCCAGCTCATGGATGGGCATTTTGCTGATTCCGGGGATGAAGATACAGTAAGAGGGAGACACTTATGCTTCCCTAATGGCCATAAGCCCCAGTCACCATTGCCAGTAGTCTGAGATGATGGGAGTTGCACTCCTCAGCATCTCCGGGTACCACATTTGTTATCCTTGCATTAGTCAATTCACTAGACCTTCAATTTCCCCACCCTCAACAAATGGCAAAACTGGCTAGCTTGAGGCAAAACTGATTCTGACCCTCATAGGATTGAATATTCTTTAAAAGAGTAGCACAGGTGCACAATATTTTGCTGCATTTTGCCCTTTACACCCTTCTACCCTACCCTGGACAAATTGCCACCCTGTCCTTGGTGGGTTGGCTCTTATCATTTTTCCTACTTGCAAGACATTCAGAGTTTGGGTGGCCTGATTTTCAGCAATGTGGGGTGTATGTGTGTGCTTCCTTTACTTTGTAGTATGGTGAAATGCTTGTTAGACTGTAGAAACCATACCTTGCAAATGACAGCTTGGCTGTTTGAAAAACCCTTTCATCACATGCATGTAATAACAGCCAATAAGCAGGTAAGCCTGTATGTGATGCAGACTGTTTAACTGGCTACCACACCCACAGCTTCCAAATCATGGACTAGATCATTCTTATATGTGCCAAATCCTTCATTAACATTTCCTGTACTCCCATTCCCTCCCCCCCGTGGTATTGAACAAAATTGCATTGTTGGAGCATTCATCCCAATAATGCCAGATTTAATTTTTTGTTTCAGGTTTCTTTGGTGCAATATAGTGATGATCCAAAGTCTGAGTTCCATTTGAATACATATGATGATAAGGCACAAGCACTAGGAGCAATTCAGAATATTCGGTATAGAGGAGGGAACACAAAAACAGGTACTTGTGGGAGGATTTGAGTTCAGTTTTTTAAAAACAAACATGGTCTCTATGCTTCACAGATTTGGGATTGTATCCAACGTCAGTCCTACTCAGAGGTGGAATCTAGACACATAGAAAAAAAAGTGAAAATGCTTTTTTAAAAAAAGTTTTTGAAAAATATATTGAATTTGCCATAGCTCCCCATCGCCATCTAGAGCCACATTTGTATAATGCACTTTACAACACACTTAAAACATTTTATTTGCAGCTGTATAGCTGAGTCCAAGGGACATGGGTGGCACTGTGGGTTAAACCACTGAGCCGATCAGAAGGTCGGCAGTTCGAATCCCCACGATGGGGTGAGCTCCCGTCACTCGGTCCCTGCTCCTGCCAACCTAGCAGTTCGAAAGCACATCAAACTGCAAGTAGATAAATAGTTACTGCTCCAGCGGGAAGATAAATGGCGTTGCCGTGTGCAGCTCTGGTTCGCCAGAAGCAGCTTAGTCATGCAGGCCACATGACCTGGAAGCTGTACGCCGGCTCCCTCGGCCAATAAAGCGAGATGAGCGCCGCAACCCCGGAGTTAGCCAGGACTGGACCTAATGGTCAGGGGTCCCTTTACCCTTTAGCTGAGTCCAAAATTCAGCCACTGAAAATAATGGACATGACTAACTTAGGCACATTAATTTCTCTCAGTCTGCTTTGAGTATAACTTAGTTGGATACAACCTTTTAATTTCATTCCAATGTTAATGTGTGTGCTACTAATATTATCATTTTTGTTTGATCACCGCAATGAATTTTGTTTCACCATCTGCAGGCAAAGCACTTACATTTATCAAAGATAAGGTCTTGACATGGGAAAGTGGTATGAGGAAAGGAGTTCCCAAGGTACTTGTTGTTGTAACTGATGGCCGGTCACAGGATGAAGTGAGGAAAGCTGCAGCTGTCATACAACATTCTGGTAAGTTGCTTTTACGTGCCATAACATTGTACAACTATAATTCCGCTAACTTCATCAAATGTCAGATTCTGTATTGTTAGGAAGGCTGTAATATACACAGTTCAAATAATCAGTGAACATTTATGAGCCTGATATCTGTAAACCACTTTATCCAGTATCACTTTGCAGTGGACTGAATCCAGCGCTGTTCATGTACAAGGAGGGCAGATTTCCACTTGCACATCAGGGGATCCTTTGAAGAAGTTTTGGGAGGAAGGGGAAGCCGTGTAGAGCAAGTGGAAATCTGTTCAAGCAGTGTTGGATTTCACCCTGGGTAAACTCTGTTGTACATGTAAGCTTTTTATTTGAACATTTATTTATTTATAGAAATATCTACCTGCCTTTCTGATGCCCATGCACCACAGATTTAGTCACTTACCCTCTTCAGGATATGATGTTTTCTTTTTTTAAAAGGAAACGATAAATGTACACACTTTACACGTCTCCCTTGAGTTGTATGTCATCCCCTCATAACAGATTGCTTAGATGTTATCTTTGAGAAGAACATGTAGAAATATACTTGTGACGACACTAACTCAATCGATACTACATTTGCAGGTTTCAGTGTCTTTGTTGTTGGTGTGGCTGATGTTGATTACCATGAACTGGCCAAGATCGCCAGCAAACCCAGTGAACGCCATGTCTTTATAGTTGATGACTTTGATGCTTTTGAAAAGATTGAGGATAACCTCATCACCTTTGTTTGTGAGACAGCTACCTCAAGTAAGTCAAATGCCACTTCTCTCTAATCTTCTTAAGAATAAATTTACCTGTTGGATTCTAGTGATCAAAGAACCTTCCATGAGTGGAGGGACACGATTAGATACAACCCCCTGTATGCATTCTTTTCAGTACCACCCTTTCTAGCACATTCCCTCATGCCTCCTCCACAGAAATCTGCTCTTTATGAAGAGGGGTGTCCAGATTGTCCTCTGATGCCGTGAGATGGGCTGCAATGGAAAGGGAATATCAACAGAAAGCCCCATGTACATACAACAGCTTATTAGGTGCATGCTGAAACTCTTAGAATACCAGGCAAAGCATCTGCGATATATAAGCTTGTCTAGCCTCACTCTGAAAACTTCCAAAGGAGGAGATTCTGCAGTAACCCTGCGCACCTTCCAACAACAATGCTGCTGGCTCATTCATTATTTCATTTGACATGTTTCTTTTTCTGTTTCAGCTTGCCCTCTCATGTACTTGGATGGGTACACTTCTCCTGGTAAGAATTTATACACCAGTTTCCCAGCCTAGTAAAGTGTCTTCACATTTTCTAAATTCCACAAGTCTCTTTCCCTTTGAACATAATAATAATGATGAAAAACATGTTCTCCTTTATGATACAGGCTTCAGGATGCTGGAAGCTTACAACTTAACAGAGAAGTATTTTGCTTCAGTACCAGGCGTTTCCTTGCAGTCAGGATCCTACCCCAGTTATGTGGCATACAGGCTTAATAAAAATGCCTTTGTTAGCCAACCCACAATGTAAGCTGTGCTACCTTTCTTCTTTTCTTTTTTTAACTGGGGAAAGTTGATTGTGTGTGGTTACATGGAACACATAACTTTCTGGAATGATGGGTGATATATTTTGCTTAGTCTGCAACATTAAGAAATATGCTCAAAAGGAACTGCAACAACTTTCTTAAACAATGTACCACTTTTCTTCTTGCTTAAAATATTTAGTATTTCCAGGCCTGCTTTGTTTCTTCATTCCCTATACAGGCTTTTATTGACATGGCAATTGAAATCTGTTGCAATTATTCGGTTTCAAACTCGGCTATTAGTGGTTAGTGGTGGGGAAAATTTTAGCTATAGATGCATGATG